TGCTAACATGTTTTTTGTTCTGATGTGGACCACGTATGCTCTGGACAACTGGGGATGTGTGTGTGTGATATGTAATATGTGCATCATTTGTATTGAGCCCCTAATATAATTACGTGTCAAACAGCCAGGAGTACACTTACCCAATTTGTCAATTACCCTCTGGGGCTGTGCCAGCTGCAAGATTTCACAGCTTACTTGCTGCAACAAGAGCTGTGACAAAACAGAAATTCCACTTTGCACTGCACTCAGAGGGCCTGACTTTTGGTTTTAGTTCAAGTGAAAATGAATATTCAAAAGAGGTCTGATGAACCCTTGAAAAAAGGGCCCTTTTGGCTTCTTTGCTCCAGTACACAGGGACCAGGCAAACAGTGCCCAGGAATGGAAAGCAGTTGAGGGAATACACCTGGGGAAGAAGCAGGGGAAGAGTAGCGAGTGGCGCAAGCTGCTGCTGGTACTTTCTGGGCTGGGAGAATGAGGGAGAGGAACAGGCCTGTGTTGGAGCAAAGATGTGCAGGGAAGGTGCCGATGGATTGCTGGAAAAGAATTCAAGGCTGTTACCCAATGGAGCTGACCAAGGTTGAGGGAGGCTTATTAGGCAAGCACTGGTTTGATGGCTCTGGGGTTAATCCTCTCTCATGGTGCCTGGGAAATGGAGTTTCCATCCCACTGCATTTCAGCACTTAAATTTTGTAAAGGAAGTGAGGTAGAAAATCAAAATGGCAACATTTGTCGAGGAGGAAAGATCAGACAGCTTCAGCTGCATGTTTTGCTGCAGTAGCAGTTGAGGCTGCTTGATTCATTAAAAAAAAATTCTTTTAAATACTGACTCATAATTAAAGACGTTTTAGAAAAAAATTTCCATCAAAATGACCCCCACTATTTCATTTTCCACAAAGTATTCATGAAAGTCTGTATTCTAGGAGGAAATACTTCAATCTAAAATTTGTAATGGGCTCTTGAGCTCTAGTCTGTGTTGTTAGAGCCCACGTTGGGCTTCTTCTTCTGCCCTGGGCTGGCAGAGGGAGGCTACAAGCAGCCAGTGATTGCTGTGGCTGTGTTAGAAATAAGCCTGGTAGATTTTATTCTTGTCGCTTTAGTATCTTGACAGAAGTGGATGGACACCACCTCAGAGCCTAACACTAGGCAAGATTCAGTTATCATTAGCTAGTAAAGCCAAGGTACTGTCCTTCTCCTTTAAGAAATAAACCAAATATAGCTGTTCACATGCAGGCCACCAAAATCAGTCTTCACATATAGGAAGAAAACAACTTGGTTCTGTGACCCCTTCCTTTAGGCTTTCCCGGTCTCGCTAGTGTCCAATTTGGGGAAACCTTTGGGCCACACACGCTGTTTACCAGCAATGAAAAACACTCCATGGCCACAGCGACCTTTGTCAAGCCAAGAAGAAATCTAGGCAGAAGGGGACAGATGAAGAAAGTTCATCTAGCTTTAGCTGAAGCCTTTGAGGGTCAAAGTTTGCTATGTGGGATTCAAACTCTGCTTTCATTCTTGCCATGTCTGGTTTCCATTAGAGAGCAAACATTTCTTTCAAGTCCAAAAAGGTGAAAGGCCTTTTGGATAGAGAAGAACAACTTTGTACCCACAGAGCAGGGATCTGTTAGACCTGATAGACAGGATGCACACAGAAAAGTCTGGGTTCTCATAATGCTGGACAGAAAATTACTTTCACAGTAGTTATGTCCTCAATTTCTAATATCAATAGCAATAAAATTGCAGCTGTGCTAAAAAAAGATGTTTTTTGTTGCAATTTTGATTCAGGTTACTGAATAGAAGTCAGCTCACTTTCCTGTATTGGCTTGTGTTTCAGGTAAACCTCCCCCTCCAAGGAAAGGATTCATTGACCTGGAAGTATTCATCATCTCAGCCACAGAACCTACCAGTGATGGGAACTAATATTTTTATTAAAATAATTTTACCTTCTTAATGATCTTCTTGGTACAATTTTTAAGTGAGGGCATCAAAAAGAAACATGTGAAAGTGTTATACTTCTACACGATTCAGGGCTTATGTCTCAATGCACCAAAAGAAGTGGTATAGATATTCTGAGATAAGTGAGAATTTCACAATACTCAGAGATCTCCTTTTCTGAAGAAAAGCAAATGCACTGAATACACCCACACTCTCCTGGCTTCATGGTCAGGGTGGAGCTCCCATCGGTTTGTTTGCTAAAATAAACAAAAGATCTGTAAATGGTTTTAGCTGTTCACACAGTCTCAAAACTTGTGGACTCTGAATAAGTGCTATTGAAAATACCTGTTTGCTCCTGAAAAAAAAAAGAATCTAAATCAATAATTTCTGGAGCGAGCAACACTAAATAGTATTAAAGCATCTTTCTGTTGCTTTCAGGACTATATGTACTATCCTCTCAGCACGGTTCCACTAGCAGGACTTTGTCAATTGCTATTAGGCTGGTGCAGAATTCTCTGAGGAAAGAGAATTTTGAAAATGACAGGTTGTCATTTTCCTTTCCTTCTGGCGCTCACACACAACTGTAGCAATCAAACCAAAAAAGGCCTGAAATTAAAAAACTCTGTTTTGCCTTATTAAAACACTAAGAAAATTCTTGAATATAATTGAATCGGCTTTGCTATGCAAGTGATGATATCATTTGGCTCAGGAAACTGAATTCTCATTGAAGAGTTAGTGCCACGCTATCTTGAAGTATAGTTCTGAGGACAACAAAGGAAAAAGAATAAAACTTAAAAAAAAAAAAAAGGTTAGGGAAGATATGATAACATGAATCCTTGTGGGATAAAATATGCCAGAGATCCTTTTCATTAAAAGGTGTAGGGGTTACTTTAAGCTTAATTCTCTCTTACCAGCTTTGAACAATTTGTCTAAAACTTAGATGCAAAGCCATTGCCAAGGAAGCGTTAAGTTGTTTCCAAAGGGGTGCTCCTACTGACTTCTACTTTATGCAAGATGGCATTCTTTTACAAGAAAATATATTAGACTGCTTTAGTACGGCACTGAGAAAGCTATAAGGTCAAGGCCAGCATGTGCTAGACTTTGTCAAGCTTAAAAAAAAAAAATCTGCCCCTCACCCTTAAACTGTAAAAGCAAGCAATGCTGCCATTTTTGGAATGCTTGTTCTCAGCTATTTTCTGCAGAAATTCAAATAAATGTTTTGGGTGAAATGCTGACCTCACTGAAACAACTGGTAGATTCTGGCATCGATTTTGATGGGGCCTGCGGTAACTCATCTACACTTAGAAATTCAAAAAATTTTGAAATAAAAAAACTTTGAATTTCTACTTCATTGTTTTATATTTGCACTTAGGAAATTCAGTTTAGGGGATATTAGTAAGTAGATAATTTTGAAAACAAACATCTTATTTTTAAGTTTGGAATTTTGAGATCTCTTTATTAAATATATGTTGATTACATACCTACATGTGGGCCAGTGTTTTTTTTTTTTTTATTTTCAAATAAGCAACAAAAGTTCTCTTAAAACTTCTAATGATAAATCTCCTTCCTATAGTATTTTCTCCTGGGGTGTGGGTGTTGCCAGTGGCCAGACTGCAGGGCTTGTGTGGTCAGCAGATGGCTAATCAGCACTAGGATGTCTTAGGCCTGTTATGGGCTCTGCTGTTAACTTCTTTCATCACCCTGGCAACTAATTTAACATCCCTGGATATATCATTATCTGGCATAAATTGTCTTAGTGCCATGTAAGCCATTAACACTGGCTGTGAGGGTCAGCCTCTCTGTGCCTTGGTTTACTCTTGCGGAGAAACGAGCAGCATTGGCTGTGCTTGCCAAGTATATTGCACTGGGTAAATAATGAACAGATGTCAAATGTTTTGGGCTTCTCAGATGGCGGTGGGGGGGGAAGTGGGGAGAAACTGTAGGAGTGGCTAGGAGTGTTGTTATATTCAGAAATCTTCACAGAGCTAGCAGGTGAACTATTAGGAAAGCGAGCTGTGATACAGATTGGTGACTCTTAATTCCTCATTAGAATATTTGCTTACAGGATGGGGATCAGACAGATCTAAGTTCTTCTGAGCAGCTGTTTTGAAGTCATGGTAATGGGTACATCTGGCTTATGTAATGTTTAACTTGCAGTATTTTATTTGCTCTGGGTTCTGAAAGTATTATAAGATCAAGCGCATGCCGTGGGAGAGAAAAAGTCAAACAATATCTGAATTCCAGTCAGGTTCCAGGAAGACACAAGGCTGCTGATCTAAACTGTTTTTTCTTTTTTTTTTTCCTCTGAGGAAGCTATCAAGTCTCTGAGAATTGGCATTATGCACAAAACATATACCTACATGATGATGATCACTTCTGAAAGAGGGCTCTTTGTAGCTTAGGTTTTTGTTGTTAAATGGATCTTCTTGTATCAAAGAGGCTGTGTAAATATTATGGGCTGAGCTCCAAGGGACAATGCTGTGTAAGCTTTAATGAAGAGTTGCTATGCAAATGATGATGAAGAAATAGTGAAGTCTAACTGATTCCGTGGCTTCTTACTTGCTTTTTCTCTAACTCTGCAGCAGACACAAAAACAACAGGAGCAGTGTAGTGACTAGCCCAAGACAAGTAAGGTGAGAGAGGCAAAACACCTGCGAGGGAGCATGAGCTGTCACAGACAACAGCGGTGCATCTGGGTGGTGCCGCACTGGGAAGGGCGAATGGGGAAGGGAGATCCTGCAGACTTGGTGAGAGATGAAGGAAGGGCTTGGAGGAAACCTCAGGGCCACCACTGGACCTGCTCCCCTGATGCCTCCAGGGACCGCAGCTTTAAGTGCCGTGATAAAAATACAGCAGTGGGCTTGCAGGTGCTAGGGTTTAGACTTCAGTAATAAAATTATCTGTTAAAGGCACTGTGGTATTGGGAGGGTGGGTGTTGAAAGGCTTTTCCTTTTTCTAGAAAAACAGACCTGCTCAGCACCCAGTGCCTTCCTCTGAAAGTCACTAGGGAGCCGGAGCAGAAACCAAGTCCACCTGCAAGGGTGCTTCATGCTCTCCGAAACGTAGCCCTGTCACCCCACCACAGAGAGGGAGCTCTTTCCAAAATATGTCTCGTGAAGCCTTACGCACTCCCCTCAGGCATCAGCAGCTTTCACCAGCTCTTCGTTGTGTTCATATCCTAGGATTTTGCCTGTCCCCACCGCTGGCTGCTGTCCTTCAGAGAACAGCTGCTGTCTGCAGGGTGCCCCTTTCGGCTGGGAGCTGTGGAAGAACGTCTTTCTCCTGCACCCAGAATTAATTTGCGAGGCTGCAGCTCATACAAATAATTAGTGTGGTTCCTCCCTGCCCACTTCCCTTCACACTCGTTCAGCCTGAATTTCACGAGTCTTCTGCGCCACCCTTCCTCAGGGTGAGTAATATCTTGGTGCTTAAGAGGGACAGCTGGAAGGATAGATTTTATGAAAGTTCTCTGAAGTTCTCCACAGTTTACAGCAGTTAAATATCGACTTGACTACATCATTGTTAATTCCCTTCCACAGATTTTGAAAGGAAAAAAAAACCCAACACTTCAGGCAAAAATACATTTCCAGGTGACCTGAACTGGGTTAGATATGTTTGCTTATCCAAACAGTGTTTTTTACTATCCTGGTTTATCTTTTTTGCAATATTTGTCGAAGATCCCATTGGAGCTTGAAAAAAGCCAGGGAAGGAACAAATAATTTGACTGATTTTGTTAGGACCTTTTCTGCAGGTTTGAATTAAATGAAATTTCAGTTAAAGAGGACAAAGAGTGATCTGAGGTGGTAACTGAAGATCAGCATGTCAGCCCTGATGAATTTAACCCAGCACATGAAGGGATTACTGGAGACCAATGCTTTTAAAAGGAAAGTAGGATTCTAACCCTCGCTCCTGAAGACTGTATCTGCAAATATGAACTGGGCTGAAGGGAGCGCCTCAGTGCAGAGCAGTCTTTTTCTGCCTGCTGGAGCTTAGCCAGAAAACCCTTGGTAGACTGGAGGGCCTTTCCTTAAGAAACAGAAAAGGTATTTTCCCCATGTAGAAAACTTCAGCCTTGTTTTATTATTTTTTCCCCACTTGCTAGTGGGAGTCCATCTGATAACAGCCTGAGAAGGCCGAGTGCTCTGCAGGAATGTGTTTCCCCGGAGAGGCGGGAGGGCAGCTGTGCAGTGCCTCCAGGAGTGTGCCACCACTGCCACCGCCTCTGTGGGCACTGCGGGCACGGGCCAGGGAACGTGCTCAAGGCTAGTCCTGACCTCCCACCTCTTGGGGGGAGCCATGAGTGCCCTTGCTGCCGTGGGGAAGCCCTCACCGGTGGCTGCTGCCCCGAGCTGGATGCAGCGCGTATAGATACTTTTCACAAGCCGCTTCAAACCGTTTCCCACAGGCAGCTGGTGTTTACCCAGAGATGCCGGAGGAGTTGCATCCCTTCCCAGTCAGCATTTCTTGTTCTGTACTGTCATCACTTCTAGGCTCGTCTTGCTCCAGAGATTTATATCAACAACGAGAAGAGTGGAGCCTTTGGGAAGGGGAAAAGCTGGAGAGCACTGATTACCATGGAGGGACAAGCTGGACCCGTCGGAGCCTGAGACCCAGCTCCCCCTCTGCTGCTGGCTGCTGTGAGACCTTATGTAAGTTGTTTCACCTCTCCGTGTCCCTCCTTTCCCATCATTTGTTTGTCTAGTATATTTAGATAGCGAATGATTTAGGGCAGGGCCTGTCTTTCCCTGACTGTGTGTATGTGTACAGTGACTAACATAATAGGCTTATGATTTAACCCGGGACTTCTGCTCTAGTTTAAGTAGCCCCAAATACATTTTTAAACTCCAAACAATTAATCTCCAAGTGGTATCTGCTGGCAGGAGTTGGAAGTCCCCTCTGTTTTACAGAAATCATAATTTCTGTTTTGAGTTGGTATTTCCACACAAAACCAAGCACTTAACAATCTTTGAGAAGTTTGATCTCAAGTGCAAAGAGTGAGTGGAGAGGGTTTTTATACTTTGAAAATGTTGCTATGAATCCACAGTTCTCAAGCCTGCGGTCCCTCGCATGTGTGGCACACTTCCCTGCTACTTGACAAATTCTTATAGTCTCTTGATGGGGATTTTTGATAAGACTTTGCATTCCCATAATGTTTGTTACAACTTCTTTCACCTTCCCGGGAACACTGACCTGGGCAAAGATATCTAAAATATCCATGAGAGATTTTTGATTTGCTCTCTCAGACTAAGCCGTAGCTACGCCACGTTTCTGTGCACAGTCTTGGTCGCTGCTGAGGGGAAGCATGTCCTGCGTGCTGCCTTGGCAGGCTCCGCTTGGGGTGGGTGGATGGGTGTGAAAGATGTTTTCTTCACTCCGCTTGTGGTAAATTCCAGACCCCATCTTCTCCCCAGTGCAAACAGTGAGCTGGAATGGAAATGGATTCGGACCTTAAGTCTGCAGTCAGTTTATCTCTAGTTTAATACCAAATGACACCATAAAGTCTATGCTGAAAGTTTCTAGGCATTGATATTACACCAGGCCACCCAGAAGCCAGCCAGCCAGAACAGAAATACCACTGTGATGAAGTTTCCTCCTTTTTTTGTTTTGTTTTGTTTTATTTTGTTGCATGGTACACATAATACAATGCCTCCTAGAAGAGTTTCTAGAGGCTCTCACAAACTCCTAATATGATTCCAAATAAAGGGAAATATTATTCTAATTTTGACATGGGAAATGGGGGCACAGGAAAGGGAGTAGAGCTCTGGACTAAGATTAGCTGCAGAGACACTTATCCAGAGATGCACAGAGATACACAGTATGCCAGACTTTCTCCCTGCCAGGGTCTCATCAGACTCTGCCGCTGGAAGTACATGGGACTCGGGGGAGGTAAGGACACAGGCCAGAGGGTGTCCGTCGGTGGCTGGGGATGGTGTGCCGCTGGTGCCTGCTCCTACAGTGGTCAGGATCATGAGCTGAGAGTACTGGGAGCAGAGGGCAGAGAGGCTGTCATGAATATTTATCTGCACATCTGCACTCAGCTGCAGAGGAGAAAAGTTAATGTTCTCGACTGTTCCCTTCTTTTCTCCCTACAGTGTCTTGTCTATTAGGCTATCTCCTGGCTTTGTAAGGACAGCTAAATCCCTTCATTTTATTATTAGTAGAAGGAGAGGCTCTTTTTCCAAAGTCAGATCCAATATTGAAATATTTGGAAAAGTTAGTTTCTGCCTGCTTTAGTAGAAAATAACTGTACTTTTCTCCTTCCTTCACTTAAAAGCACAAAATGAGAGGGCCTGCCCTCAGTGGATTTAGCCACTAAAGTGAAGCTTCTTTCCTAAAATATTTTCAGTTTGCTGTGGGGAGACAGAAAAGTGCATCTGTGTATGCAGGAGCCAATCACCCTAGACTTGTTACTCGTTGCAGACTAATTGCAGGAAATTGTTTTGATACCACAGACATACAGAAAGGTTGAACTGTGACTTACTATGTATCAGATACCTGACCTGACTTGCTGTTATCCCAGAATATTGCAGGGTTTAGATTACCAGCCAAGCGTACAAAATAAGATTGCTGACATCAGGGTATAGTACGTAAAGGGACGGTCCTACTAGGAGAGCAAGAGGGACGTCTTGCATTTCTACAGGCTGACATCACATCTGGAAAGCTGCTGCCCTCTGGTGAGTCAGCACGCCAAAGGCAATCATACGAGTCTGATTATCCAATCGTTTAGCTGGAGGAAGATGTTTTCGTTCTGCCAACAGACTCATTATAATTAATCCTGTACCTTTCTGTGAGAATTTCTCAGCGTAGAACACTACAAAGAACCTTTCTGTAAATCTCCACCTATTTTTCTTGACTGTGTCCTCCTTTGCATGCTTACAGTATTTTTAAGCTATGTAGGTGTGTACTGCCTGATATGCCTTTACCAGCTGTGTGTACATTGGATTGGGGGCAGGGACGTCTTTTTGTTTGCTACTAGTAGAGCAGCTAGCCCTGTGTGGTCTGGGTCACGTCTGAAACACGGTAGCACTGCTCCAGTACAAACAGGGTAGTGAGAGTGGTGCACCTGGCGCGGTTTTCTTTTTGGCAGCCTGGATATAGTTCTCAATTCCTTTGCAGGTAGGAAAACCAGAACTCCAGATAAGAAGTAACTTTTTGTATCTCCTCCATTGTTCGAAGACTAGTAGAATTACTATACTCTCTTTTATTGTCGGCTGGTGCAACTTTTGAGATGCCAACCAAAACTTATTTTTCTGATGGTCTGTTCTCTTATGGACTATGTATTTTACTGTTGGGAAAAGGAGGAAGTACTGTGGTGTCATAACTACCGCAAATACTCACCTCTTCTGGTCACTGCCATATCAAAGAAGCAAAGCATCTCTTTGTTGCAGGTTGTATCAAATACCCTGCTGCACTCTGCAGCAGAAAAACAACAGACAGTTACCAGCTCATGGGTTAGCTGTCACAGACTCAGATATTTCTAAACTTTATGCCCACGTGTTCTTTTCTGTTCTTTTCCATCTTCTAAGAATATGTGGGGAGAATGTCTAAAGATAGCCCTAAAGACAGAGGCAGAGAGGCTGTTGTACCTCTGGGAAGAAAAGAGGCCAACTACTGTCCTCTCCAAATAGCATGGACAATCAAACTTGCCTAGTAATTATTTCTCTATCAAGCTGGCAGTTGAGCTTCAGTGTGTCTATAGAAAAATTAATGTTATTAATCAGATAGTTTTAATTGGCAGATAACCAATCACTGCCTTAGTGGTCAATCACCCTACTTTTTAAAAATCTGTATCTTTACTGTAGGCCTGATTCTGTTTAATTTTAGCTTGCAGTGATTAAACGGCATTAGGTCTTTTGTCTGCCAGACATAAAGAAACATATAATATTGGAAATCTTTCCCAAATGAAGCTGTGATCAAATCGCTGTTTAATTTTCTATTGCAATAACCAATGAGATTTCTTAAGCATCTTTTATCAAAAGGAAAGTTTGCAAGACTTTGGATTGTTCTTGTAGCTTTTTTGTCAGTATCTACTTTGACATGTAGACATCAGGACTGGACAGAGATTTCTGGTTTTTTTTCCTGCTAGGTAGCTCATTACAATAGTTGTAATATTTGCAGAAGTATCTAAGTAACATATAGACCTAACCATTGCTGACAGATCAGCTTATGAAATTGAGAACTGAGATCTCCTTGACTTTTGGTGAGACTTAGGCTCTACGGTGTTTCAGATACTTTTATTAGAAAGAGTTTGGACTACACATTTATAAACTGTACAGGTCCATTTAGGTCATCAAAATGTTGAATTCTGGTTCTAGAGCTAAACACAGTCTCTGACGTTTCGAATGCTGCTGTCACTGACAGCTGTTTCCCTGTTTTATAGCTGCATGTGACAGGGAGAAGAGGAAATTCCTAGGAAGATTGTGTCAGTTGGGAGGGACTTACAGATGGGACTTGGTAGTTACCGGGGACTGGGAAGGGTGTTAATCTATTCATATCTTCAGAGAAAAATCTTTATCATTCTCAGCAGGGTGTCTAAGAAAAATGTGACTCGTTGCCTTATGAAGCTCGCTAGCTCTCTTTGCTGAATGTAGAGGAACCCTAAACAGTTGTGTCAGCCTTGTTTCCTATTTTTTTTACGTGGCTAAAGATGAGAAAAGTCCTATATGAGTTTAGTGTAGTGTGTGTTGTGGTTTAAAAAGGATCATAGCTTTAACACAGTGCCTAATGGTGGTGTTTCTTTGTCACCAGCAAAAGCAGGATTAGCATAAATCATCCCACTGCACTGGAGGATTGTGGGGGGAGCAAGCAAGCAAGAAAACAAGACTCTTGTAACAGCTGGCAAAACGTTCAGACCTTGAACAGGGAGCGTTGTGACACTGGTGCAGATACCCAGGAGACTGCGTTTGCCTGAGGTGGCAAGGCTCACAAAGGGATTTCTCAGATAAATCCCTCTCCTCCCTGTTCCATCCGCCTTCCTGCACAAAAGCCCTGCCCAGCCAAAGCCGATCCAGAGAATTGCAGGGAGCAGGCTATTTTTATTTCAACTGCATCATAATAGCAG